TTGAAGGCATAGTTGAGTTTCTAGTCATTTCAAAAGCATGATGATTTGAATCAAGCATATCACCTTATGGTGAACTCCTAAATCTGTTTAAGTGAACAAATGAGTGCAGGGTCATTTATGGTATGGTCTGATGGTACTAGGCAAATCGCTACCTGGTTGAATACTTCCTGGATCTGTAATGCAGAATGTTAACATTTAATGCTTTTCCAAGCACTTTTTGTTGTATGTTTTATACTATAGAGTGTTAGAGATAAGAGTGTCATTATTTGTAAGTTAATCCAACTAGGAAAGCACATAAAACACTTAGTGTGGAGATAGCAGGAATAGAGTTCAATGTTTAAATTAAGAGCAAAAATCTTGGAAGTAGTGGAAAACAGGAACAAAGCATTAACAAAGCTGGAATAAGAAACATCTGGATGGGAAGGAGAGGTTTGGGGAAATCGCTTCGATACCTGCTGGTGTTCAATACCTTCCTGGTCTAAAAGGGGTATTGAGGTTGTTTCATTTAAGTAATGAGGGGTAGCACAGATACATAGCTAAGAAGGGGCAGAGCAGAAATCAGAATCTGGTTTACCAACTTCTGGTCCAATTCCTTTCCCACTGGTAGCCATTGTTCAGTTACAGCTGCAGCCAAGGAAACTAATGGTGAGGAAAGGTGGTTCCAAACTCAGAGTCAGACCCGTTGGCTTCCCATACCAACCTGCTGATGTGCTCAAAATTCCTCTTACTTGGCTTCTCTTAAATGACCTTACAGCTAAACGCCTCGGGTCTCTACCCATGCACAAACCATTAGCCCGTCTGGCAAGATAATGCAGAGAATGATAACTCAAATTGACAAAAGGACCTTATTTGGGGAGATATTATTTCCTATTAAGTCACCGACTTCCTTTTTTTTTTTTTTTTAATAAAATTGCTGAGAGTGAAATGAGAGCAAGGGCAACTTCAATAGAGGGGTAAAGTTTACCTGTTGCCTACTGGCTCTCCTATGGGTGTGGCCCTCTCCTAGAGAATATCACTTTTAAAATGCTAATTAAATTTTTAACACAAAGTATTTGAATGAATAGCTGTTTGATTTTTTCCTCTTTTCTTATATTTAGGAAAAATATGTCAATTTATTTAAAAATATTTCAATGCCCTCTTCTCATTTCTTCAAACACAATGAATCCCAACCCTCCACCCATGCAAGAAACTTTAAAGACATGACTAACGAAGACCTGGGTTTGCTCCGATGGACGGAAGGAGAAAGAAGCACTGTGCGTGCTTGCTGAGCTACGGAGATGGCCTGGGACTGCTGCAGTTGCATGTGCTCACTTATTAGGATAACACACCATAGAGCTATCTTCCCTCACTGGACTTTCTCGGTACTGGGGAATGTGGTCACTTATGCAGCCCAGAGCCCTGCAAGGAACATTGACACTCTGTGTTTGTAAGACACACTCACAGGTCGGGCAGACGGAGGGTTGTCCTTTTCAGTCACCCCGTAAAGCCAGTGAAGGAGCTGGACTGCCAGGTGCCCAGGACTATTGTCATTTTTTTTTAATCCTGCAACTCCTAAATGGGCTCCTCCTCCTCCTCCTCCTCCTCCATCTTCTTCTTCCGCTTTTTCTTTTTTTAAATGGCTGGACTTGAAAATTTGCTAATTATTTTAGAGGAAAGTAAGACAAGTTTGAAAGTCCTACTATAATTACTAAGCAATTTAATCTATATATCTTTTTTAAATCTCTTAGGTCAAGAGAGTTTTCAGAAGACTTCTACCAAAATCCCCAAAAATATACATTTTCCCATAAAAATATACATAATCCCATACAAACTATTTTAGAGAATAAAGAGGAAGTAGTCCCTAACTGTGAGAGATAATAATAGAAAAACATTTTCTACATGAAGGACTAGATGTGCTTCTAGTTACGTTTCAGATGTAATTGGTGGTCCTCTCTCTTTGGAGATAGGCAGCCTATCCTAGAAAGGGTACAGGAAACTTACCGAACATCAGTTTAGAAAAGTAGATACTAGCTATTCATTTCATCTATTTGAGAATGAAAACTTCACATGTAGTATAGTCAGATTTGCAAATATGCAATATCTGCCAGAATGAGGAAAGATGTAATATTTGGTATATACTTATACTAACAGCTTATTTGTTATTAGACATCCAACTTTAGCTAGGAGTCCTGTGTTTTATCTGGCAACCCTACCTAGGCAGAAATGCTGAGTTGCTCCAGGCCCATTTGAAAAATTTTGGCCAAGGTCCCATCCCCCTTTCAGATGAGGGAATTGACCAAAAACTTTCTTTTTACACAACTTATGAGGCTGCAAAGGTGACAACAGTGAGGTAGTGATAGTATGATGATCTAAAAATATTTTGTTTCATTAAAATTCTCCTTCACTCGCACAAGTGGTGCTTTTCAAATAAAATGTCACCTATTCAGTTTTTTTGTTCATTCAATTACTATTTATAGAAATCCTGCCAGATGTGAAGTCTTCCCAAGGGCAGTCCTGATCAAGGCCGGAATGCCTCCAGGCCCCAGCACAGGAAGCCCTCTGAGACCCTTTCTCTCCTAGTGCTCAGGAAAGTCATTCCACTCAGCAGCCTTAGGAATAAAGAACTAATCATATAGTCTATGCAATGGTGTGGTTCTCACTCGTTATTGTCTGGTCTATGGTAAGATAAAGATGGAAAGCAGAAATAAGATTTTAGAAAGCTTTATAACAATTTGATAGATGAATTTGTCTATGGCATTTAAACTTCTAAAAATGAGTTTGTAATATATACACTTTTTTGTTTTATATATTGTTTTTCGTCATTCTTTTTAAAAAAAGACTAACTTTTAGGATAGTTTTAGATTTACAGAATTATGTGAATGTGGAGGAGCTCCATAAATTATTTGGAATTTTTCTGCATGAAATACTGGTCTTTGCATACATATTAATAGATTAATATAATATTATATATTATTATAAATATTGTCATAAATAAATATTAATACTATATTAACATGTAAGTAATTATATCCTAATTGATTCATGGATGTTTGCATTGTATTACAATCCAAGACTATGTGATTTCTTTTGTTGCTGAATTACTCCCAGCTTTGGTCCCAGGGAGTGCTTTCAGCTGGCTCCTCTGTTCCATTAACACAACCCCAATATTAGTTTTTAATTTTAAATTTTCTTACTTTCTGGCACTGAGTCACTCCACTTTTATTTTATATATTACCTTCTGTCTTAGGTTCAACCATTTCTTCAAGAAGCTCTTGTTCCATTTATTGGAGAATGACATTAGAACCAAGGCCAAGGTACACGGGATGTCCCAGTTTTTGAGTTTTATATTCCTCTTCCCCCAGATTTATGGAGGTGTAACTAGTATACCCAAATGCACATAACTAATGTTTACAATTGAGGAGTCTGGACGTATGTAAACACTTACGTTGCTATCACCAGGCCCAAGTTATTAGATATTCCCATCACCTCTGAGAGTTTCCTTGTGTTCGACTATTTGTTTATGGGTTTTTCTTTTTGTGCTAACAACACTTAAAATGAGATCTACCCTCTTAACATATTTAAGTGCACAACACCTTATTTGTTAACTACAGGCGTAATGTTGTGCCAACGATTCTCAGAGCTTTTTCTTCATCTGTTGATATGAGCGAGGAATTTTTGGCCTTTATTCTATTTATGTGGTATATTACATTGGTTGTTTTCCATGTTGACCCTCCCTTGCACCCCAGAAATAATTCCCACTTGTCTTGGTGTATGACTCTGTTAATGTCCTGTTGAAATTGGTTTGGTATCATTTCGTTGAGGATTTTTACATTTGTAATTATCAAGGTCATTAACATGCAGTTTTCTTTTGTTGTGGTGTCTTTATCTGGACAGATTCAAAATGGTTATTTTTCTCTTCATCACAAGAATCTGGTGGGGTTCCAGGGGTAAAACCCATGAAAGAGTAGAAACCTCCCTAAGACTGCAGCCTCCTGCAGTTTCTCACTCTTAACCCCAATCCACACTCAGCATTCTGCAATGTGTCACAATTACCATTTAACGTTCCTAAGCGCTCAAGGCTCCAGCAGCTCCGGCCCCGGCTGAAATGAGAAGACCCTGTGCTCTGGAGCCTCGGCAGGTGTCAGGGTGATGAGTACAGGAAAAGTTGTTGGTTTTCAAATTGTTCACACTTTTTTCTTTACGAAGAGTAACAACTTCTAATGCTCTACATTTCAGCTGTTACCACAGTCCAAGTGGTTAATATTTTATAAAAGTTATGGTCCAATTTAGATTTGGAATTAAAGGAAACAACCAATCCTCCATGCGATTTAACGCTGTTGGACTTTTTTCTTTGCATTTTTTTGAAGTCTAAGGTTTATGCCAAAAAGCCCACGACCACCCACACCTTGAAGGAGGAAATTGAGCACCGTATCAACAAAATTCAGCCACATTTATGCAAAATGGTCATGGGAAATTTCAACAAAAGAATGCATATGTGCCAGCAAAGCCGTGGAGGCCATTTACCCATTATCCTATTCCATACATAACCCTATATTATATACTTTATGAATCAATAAAAAATTTACAATTTTTAATTATAAACTTGTGTTTTCTATCAAAATTACTTCTTGTGTGAATTTTGGGACAACCTTTCGTAGCACCATCATGGTCTAACAGTAACCCCCAATGCTGCTGGTGCCACACCATCAGGAGGCGGGGGCAACAGAGGGTGTGGGGACCAGTGTTTTGTCTGCACACGATGTGAATGAATCCTATGTGAACAAGGCCGACATCCTCATCGCAAATGTCCTGATGGGCACGTCCTTGTGGTCATTGTCCCAGGGGCCTGAATGAAATGGAACAAAGGCAGCATCTATATAGATTTTCTCCCTCACCCACTGACTCCTCAGTCTTGCTATGAGACTGGAACACAAAAATGCACAAGTATTGAATAAAATTTTTATTATTACACTCTGAGACTTCAGGCCATTGGAAACAAAGAAAGCCTGAAATGAGGGCAAGGAGGAGGGAAGGTCAAAAAGAAGAGGCTGGGTTTGAGGGTGTGCAAAAATATTCCTTTCCGGTGGGTTCTCACTTGGTCCCATGATGAGCTGCATCCCAAGCTCAGGCCGCTGGCTCCCACCTGACCTAATTCTTTTCTTTCTTTTTTAAATTGATTTCAGAGAGGAGGAAAGGGAAAGAGAGAGAGAAAGAGAGATACAAACAGCAATGATGAGAGAGAATCATTGATCAGATATCTCCTGCATGCCCCACACCAGGGATCGAGCCGGCAACCTGGACATGTGTCCTGAATGGGAACCAAACTGTGACCTCCTGGTTCATAGATCAACGCTCAACCACTGAGCCATGCCCGCTGGACTCACCTAATTCTTGAACTTGCAGATATAGGGTAACATCTGATTACAGTTATAATCTATCCATTTCAGATGTCCTGGAGAGAAGGAAGAGCTAAAGTGAGTGGGGCTGGTGGAGCTCAGGGCTCAAAAGAGAGACATCCCAGACTCTGGATAGGACTGAAAGCCCCCGCCCTCATCGTCACCAGGGACCCTCTCCAAGGGAAGGAAACTCACAGAAAGGAGAGATGAAAGGAGATGGGGGCAGAAAAACCAACACTGCATTTTCTGGCTCAGGAGAGTTACCTGAAGGTGAGGCCCAGGAACGGGGATGAGGGGATGGAAAGGTTGGCCAGAAGGTAGCTCTTCTCTTTCTTACCTGAGCTTCGTGACAGGCTCCCGCAGTGGCCAGGATTTGAAATGGTGGCAGGATTTTTCTCCCAGGCAAGGTAATCCAGCACATCATTATTACTCCACTCCCATCCACCTGCATTGGGTTCAGAGCCCTAGGTAGTAGAGGATGGAGCCAGGTAAGGTTGAGTGGTCATTAGAGTTCTCCATGCATGATCCCCTCAGGTGAACACCTGATCCTCTCCTCAGGATCATGGAATTTGGTCTGCTATTCCATATGCTGTCACAGAGCTTTCCTCTTTCCTAATTCCTTGCTCCTATTGGTAAATCCAAAAGTCAATAACCATAAAGACCAATGGAACCACTCAGAGTAACATGTTACTGGCTGGACAATTGGCAGTGAATTTATCATTCCACTCAAAGGCAATGGGTATTCTACAAGGAAAAATGCATCTCATTTTCATGTAGGATTCCTCCCTGAAGCTCAGAGAACTGAATTACAGGGTGTCATGTCTGAACGGTATACAAATCTGGACAAGAGGCAGATTAACTTCCCGTGGAGACTACCAACCTTCACAGAACTCAGCTCTTCACCTGGCCTCCAGGTCCACCCTTTCCCCCAAATGTCCCTGCAGATCTCTAAGCTCTGGAGTTTTCTGGGCAGGCACAGGGACAGGGAGTGGGCTTGAAGGGCATAGCAGCTTCAGAGATAACAGACAGGTGATGTCATCGCACCTGTGTGGGATCATGAATCCCAATCCAGACGTTTGGGCAGCTGTTCCAAATGCTCTTGACCAGAGAGGCCAAGAAGGATGCCTCAGCCTCACTGCACACAGACACAAGGAATCCAGAGGGTCGCTTCTGGCAGGCAATCTGTGTGGGGAAGAGACAGACTGAGGAGGAGGAGGAGGAGACGTCACTGGGGTAGGGCAGGGCTGAGGGGTAAGAAGAGGTGTGCGTGTCAAAGATGAGGGTGCTCATTCTCACTCCCAAAAAAGTCTGGAAAATGGAGACCAGCCCCTCTCCCTCCTGTCTCTAATGTAATACTTCTACCTGTAAATGACTTACTCACATTTGCCTCAAACCAGGATTTTGGTGTCTTAAACAAAACATAGCAGTAGAAGCGATGGTAATAGGAGCCTACGGGACAGTTGCTCCGTAGAGCGTTAACTTCCTCCTTGGACTCTTCACCTGGGGTGAATGGACGTGAGGGAGAGAAATGGAGTGAAACAAAGTGTGGGAATGGGTGTTGGGACTGACTGTGGGAATATTTGTGAGACAGTGCTTGGGGGAACGAACACCAAACTCTTGCCTACCTCTCATCATTTCCAACACTTTCAGGATTTCTTCATCTTGAACTAGCTCCCTTATTAAATGAAGAAGCATCCCTTTTTTTTCTACCCTCCCCCTGTATTCCAAAGTCTAACACTTCCCCCACTCTGAGCTGACTGTTCTCACACCAAGTCCTCCAGTCATTCTCCTGCTTCCCTCACTGCTGACCCTTCCTGCTTTCTCTCTTCATCCTGCCAAAGTCCACTCACAAAATGGAAACCATCTCATTCAACTGTTAATGGAGCGCCGTGGTCCCTTCTCCCCCCCCCCCCCCCCCCCCCGATGAGTTACCCTGAGGAAGGAGTGACGGTGGAGGAATGGCAGGCAGTGTCACTGTGTGAGGAGATACCTCACCATTGCCACATGCATCACACAGGAGGCTTCCTCCACCTCTTGGCCCTGAGCATTCACAGGGAACCCAGTGCCGGAGGCAGAGAAATCTCACCTTGCACCTGTGATAGGAGCATCAGGCAGAACAGCACCCAGGACATGCTGGGCAGGGCCATGGGAGGCAGCATTGTACAATGTCTGTGACCTGAAGGAGCAATCAGAGATCGTTAAAGAAGTGCGGTCAGAGAGAGGGCATGTAGGGATCCCTCTGTCCTCCCTCTTGCCTTTTCCTTTGACAACACTCCTTGGAATAAATTGATCTTGGTGACAACTATCCCCTTTTATGATCCTGGAAATAATTGGAGAATCTGTACACCCTCTTACCCATAAGACTGATGTTCCCTGAAGACCAGAATCCTCCTATAGCCTTTCCCCAAATGTGTGAGGTAAACCCCTGCCATGGCTCTCACCTCCTCTCAACTCCCACTTACCTGTTTGCAGGTAGCTGGATGGTTGGTCACATCAGAAAAGACTCGGCTTTTATAAGAGAGTCTGAGGGTGTGGCCTTGAATGAATAGCAGGCATATGGGCCCGGACGGGGATACCGGGAAGGGGCTTGGCATTGGGTCAAGGAGCCAATTTGGGGCAATGACTGGGAATTGCCCAGATATCACTCCTTTTCCGTTAGCAGGCCAACACTTTCCTTAGGAACAGGTGCAGTTTGGACTTTATCATCCTGTGCCCGGTTGTCTTATTCTGAAAACTTCCTGGAATGAAGGTAGCCCTTGGCACAAATTCTGATGTTATGTGGTTTAGAAAATGTGGCATTGAATAGATAAGGGAAACGTTGGTAGTGTTTTTGTTGTTGTTGTTTTTCAATCTGCCAAGTACTGGTCCCTCTAGGCATATGTATGAATATGTTTTTTCCCCGTGTATATATATTTTTCTTTTAACTTTGTATTTTAAGAATAAATAATAAGAAATCACTAAGTAAAAGTCAGGTGGGTATAGAAATAGGAATAACTGCTGAGAACCAAGTATTAGTTGAGAGGAAAGAAACAATTAGAACTAAGGGAAACAGCAGTGGTTCAGAGCTGCTGTCACAGCGCCTTGTAACTCCATGGGAAACCAGGAGGGAACAGCAGATGAATAGCAGTGCCTTCCTCCCTGGGGGAAGCCTGAGACCAGTTCCTTAGCTCCATCCAATTCTGAGACGGCCATTTGCCACTTCCCAAGGGCATTCTCAGGTTGTGACCTGTAGACCCACAGGGTCTTCAAGACACTTCCAGGGACCCATGAACTTGTAACTTTCATAATGATACTAAGATGTTATTTGTCTTTTTTACTGTGCTGACAATCACACTATGGGACAGAAGCAAGGTGGGTAAAAGTTCTGATGTGTCAGCATTAATCAAGGCAGTAGCATCAACCTGTGTTCTCCATATCCAGGCACTTGCAAGAAACAAGTCATTTTTACTGAAGAACTGTTCTGGATGAACTTGATGAAACAGTAAAAATAATTAATTTTATTTTAAGTCTGAAACCTTGGATATATTTCTTTTGATATTCTGTATGATTAAATGGGAAGTCTGCATAATAAAATATAGCTTTTGCTCCAAGAAAAAGCATTTGTAACAATTTTCATGAAACACAATTCTTACTTGAAAAATGGACTGAGAGAAAAACTTGTCATTCTCATATGGGCATTTTTGGGGGCAGTTTTTTGAAAATGATCAAAACTAGTTGGTAAATAAATATTTTTAAAAATAGTTTTAACATCTAATATAAATATCAATAATTCGTATGAATAAAAATAGTTTGGGGTCTTTAATAATTTTTAAGTGTAAAAGTGTCACGAGGTCAAAACATTTTGAGAAACTCTGATTAACATCAGGCTACCAACTTTCAGGAAATATCAAGGATGAAATTATTATATGTTACAACACAGCAATATAATCAGCAAAGTCTAGAAGGTGGGACACTATAGGACAAATGACTCCATTTCCTTAGCAAATGAATTTTTAAACATAAAGCAATATTACATTCTTATCATTTGAGAAATGTGTCATTCAAATACAATGTTTGGAGCCTATTTAGATCCTGATTTGAACAAAGCAAATGGGGAAAAAATAAATACGATGCTATGGATGGGGAGCTCTCTGTGTCCCCTCTGGTTGCCGGTGGAGGTGGGGCTCTTGTGATGTCACAAGACAAGGAACATCCTGAGACTCCCATGGGCGAATGAGTGGCATTTATTTGCATGAAATCACATCCTTGAGTTTGCAGAGTCCCATTTCCCTTCATCTCACCAAGGAAAAAGCCCAGCTGTGTCTGTAGCAGGGCTAACACGTTGCCCAGAGTTTCTGTTCCATATTTGCACGTGTTCCCAGCTGCAGCCATCAGCTCATTGTGTGTGGGGTCTGCATGGTGTTAGAAAGAAGGTGAGCCCCCAAACCAGGGGTCCTGGCAGAAGACAAAGGATAATCAGGAGCCAGACAGCAAGGCAATACCTTTACTCCTGCCGGAGGTGTGCACGCATAGGGTCTGGCAGCACGCACACTGAGCAGGCCATCCCCTCGGGGTTTTATGTCTGACACATGCCATCTTCCCTCACTCTTGATTGGTCAGAGCTTATGCTCTCATTTTTGTGCCATTGGCTACTTTAAAGTAAAAAGGGATGGTTTGACCTTTGCAGCTTCAAATGGCGGCCCCAGGGAACTGCAAATCACGTGGGCCAAAATGGTGGCTGCCTAAAATACCTTCTTTGACATAAAAGATTACTTATTTATACCCACAATTCCCCCCTTTTCTTATTCAACTCTTTTCTTCAAACTCAGCTAACATTCCTAGACACTTTCCTGCTCTGCAGTGTCTAGGAGGAGATTATTTTGCTGTTTGGTCAACATGGTTTCCATTAACTTTTACATAAGACTCGTCATGCATGGGATGATACACCATCCCATCACTGTAACTCCTAACCAGATCATCAGAGGGGTGAGCATGGGTACCACCATTTCCTACCACTTCCTGAACCATTGCTCTAGTGGATCGGAGAAAGGATCCTCAGTTCCAGGATTTCCAGCTCACTCATCATCCCTGTAGGGCTCAGTGATGGTTGTGTTGCCAGCAATGAATGTACAACACTGGCCCATGGACATTACACATACTCCTCCTTTTTCTGCCAGAATCCTTTCCAAGGCCAATCTATTCTCCCACATCACCCTGCTGGTGGCATCTAGTTGTGTGGCTATACCTTTAACTGCATTGTGAGTATAGTTAACAATCCTTTGCTGGTTATAGTAAATATAATTAATCCAACCCACATTCTTGATTACACCCACCAGACAGGACAGATTCAAATCCTGCAGCAATCTGATTTCTAGCCTGAAACTCGTTTGGCACTCCTCCAGGAACCCCAGTGGGATCTGTGTAAATATGGGGATCAAAGGAGCCCCCTGACCTCTCTTTCTTCTTCCTAGTCTGTCCAATTGAAAAAGGTTTACAATATGCCAAAGTAAGCATCTGGATAAATTTCCCATAAACTCTGAGCACTATTTCCAGACCTTGAGATGCAAGAGGTATAGATTATGTTGGAGGACGGGAGCTGGATCGTTTTGGGGGAACCTTGCTCTTTACCTCTATTGGATGGAACAACAAGGAGAGAGTCTTATAGGAAGTGTTTCCCCAGGCAGTTTCCTCCTGACACAAGGCAAGCACACATTCCATCCCGTTACTGTCTGAGGTCCATCTGAATGGAAATGGGACCACTTGGGCCTCCTGCCTTCCTGCTGTGCAAGCATAACAGTTGCTTTCATTTAGGGCATGTACAGAATATTTAGTCCATTCCACCCAGGCATTTGTTTCCTTATATCCTACTTCTATTTGCATGGTAGTGGCAGTGACAATGTCCCTGGGTGGGGCTACCAATCTTGGAGCAAACCTTCCTAGGGGACCTTGTCCTGCAACATCTACTCCTAAATGTAGCCCTAGCCAATCTTTTGGCCTAAAGGCTGAAATATCCAAGTCATTCAAGTTATCTATAATCAATAGACTTTACTGGGTAAGCATGATCCAGATTTTACACATTCCCCCAGCCCACATTGTAAGCCCCTGCAATTTGCCAGACCCCTAAAGCAAATAGACAGCTTACAGTTTCTTTAGTGTTAATTTCAAGAGGCTATGTCCTGGTGTGGCTGTCCAAGTTGAGGTGTCTCCACCTAGAGAAGCTGGTGGTCAGCCCTTAACCCATGTGTGTTGGGTCCAATCTCGTTCTGCAGTCTGAATAGCAGCCTCAGTGGTAAGTAAGACAAGGTAGGGTACTTCCCAGGAGGGTCCCAACTTGCTTCCCTCCATGTCTTGACCAGAACATAGTCTCCTGGTGAATGGTGATGATCCAGGAACTCAAGAGGAGGGCCTTGGGCCAGGAAGTCTTCTAACCTGATAGAGATTAAAGTAGAAGAGATACCCAGAGAAACTAAGATGGCGGCATAGAGAAACACCAGGAAATTGCTGCCTCCCACAACAACTTCAAAAATACAACAATAAGACAAAACGGACATCATCCAGAACTACAGGAAGGCTGGATGAGTGGAAATTCTACAACTAGAAGGAAAGAGAAAAACACACTGAGAACCAGAGGAGCTGTGGAAGTAAAGTGCAGAGGTATGGAGGCTCGAGCGCATAGAAAGGGGCTGGCACCTGAGGACCCAGCTGTCTTTTTGAATCGGGAGGGAGTCACAAGGTCCGACTGCTCTGAACTCTGGTTCTGGGAAGTCTCTGGGGACCCAGGACTCATATGGGGAGAAACTGGACTGTCTGGCAGCAGGCAGAACTCGGAACTTGAGGGCGGCTTTCCCTCAGAGGTGCTTGCAGCAATTAAATTACCAGGACACTGAGACACACGGCCCCTTAGGACAGGGCTGAGGATCTGCCATAGGTGCTTGCTCCACCCTGTTGATTCCTTGAGACCCCGACCCACCCAGGTTGCGGCAGAGGCTTTTGCATATGAATGCCCTGGCCCTTTGCAACCTGAAAATTACCTAACAAATTGCATCTGGGCCAGACAGACCCAGAACTTCTGAGAGAAGGCCCAAGGGCCCACAGCAGCTTGCATTGCTTCACCGCTGGGCCTCATCTGGGCACCTCCAAACCCCAAACAAAGAAGAGGAACCTGCAGATCTCTCCGTGGCTC